CCCGTTTCCCCCGGTCCTCCCGGCGCTGTCCCGGCGGTCCCCGCGCGGCCGCTCCGCTCCGCTCCTCGCCGCCGCCTCGCTGGTGCCGCGGGCGGGGCCGGCGCTGAGGGCAGCGGGAGGCCGAGGCCGCGGGGCCGGCGGGGAAGGAAGGTGAGRGGCGGAGGGTCCTGGCTGGGCAGGRTAAGGGATGYTGACCCTTCTCTTCATCCTCTTCCTTTGCCCCCGTCCGCTCCGCGGCCCCGGGACCGGGCGATCCGGGGCGTGTGCGYGGCTGGAAGGGTGTGGGGGGAAGAGAACTGGGAGGGAACTGGGATGAACTTGSGATGTAGGGAGTGTTTAGGGGGCTTGGGGTGCTTGGGAAGGCGGTGAGGGGCGTTTAGGGATGTGGCGCTGAGCAGAGGGATGCGTGTGTTCTGGCTGGGRTGGATATAGGGTTTGGGGGTACCTTGGGCTGCTTGACGGGGTGTGGGTGGTGATGGAGAGAGTTGGGATATTGGGGGGTGTGGGGACGGGGAGTGAGCAGGGTGTGTGTGTTGGGGTCGGGATCCCGTGGCATGGATATTTSGGGATTCCCTGAACTGCTTGAGAGGTAGAGGAAGAGGCTTGGGACTCTGAGTGGGGCGTGGGTTGGTCTAGGGGTGGCTTGGGGTGAGCAGGGATAATGCGAGGGTTTGGGACCTGTGGGATGTGAGTAAGATTTGGGGGTGTCTTGGTGCTCGAGGTATGCGTGGAAGGCCTTGACAGTACAAAGCAGGGCCCTGAGTKGGGGCATGGATGTGTTTGCTTTCAATGTGTCTGGGTTTACTGAAGAGTGTGGGAAGGGAGTTCTCTTGGGGATTTTAGGATGCTTAATGTGGGGGAGGAGAGATGTGAGTGGGATGTAGTTCTGTATAATGTGAGCAGAACAGGATGGATGTGGGCTGGTGAAGGTACAGGGGTGAGCTGGTGGGCTTTGGAAAGCTTCAGGGTTCAGGTGGATGAATATTTGGGAACAGGTAAAKTGCCTGGTGTTTCTGAGAGATGAAGGTGGGGCAGAGCTTCAGAGCATCACAGAGTTCCTACCGTGTGGTTTGGGCAAGGTTTTGGGGGATTGTTGAGACAGTAGGATTGATGTGGCAGCTGGATGTTGGGGTTGGACCTTTGTGTGTCCTTTATTTCTGCTAATTCACAGGAGTGTGTGCTGACAGGAGATTTGTGATGGTAAGGGTTTTCCACGTGCTTCCACTTGGGAATAAGAGTAAGCCTGTAGGATTTATAGGARCCTAAAAGGCCTAGATATGCACAAATCCTGTGTTGAATTTTGAGATAGCAGCATGCATTCAGATTGCTTTTATTCACTGCTCAGTCTGGAGAGTGGCTCTGGCTGTGTTGTGGGGGCATGGAGAAAGAGCAGCTGGGAAGGATCAGGTGAATACTGGTGCAGTCTTAGAAGACAAGAAATTTAATAGCTTTTTGGATTTGCATTTTAAATATCTGAGAAGAAGATAAAATTCACTTTGTGATGCCCCAGGGATGTGATAAATCTCCCTCATGAGCCACATCCTTGTTGGTTGAGACCCAAAGCAGCTCYGGAGCTGCAGGTCAAGTTCTGTGTTTGATGAGTCAACCTGAATCCGTTTCATATTCTGGCATTCCACCTGTAGTTATCCAGGGCTCTGTCTGGAGATCACCTGCCTGAGGAAAGATGCTTTAGTGCAATAGTTGTTGTCATGAATCACAAGCCCAAAAAACTTCATATTCTGCTTCAGAGCCATGGTAATATCCACTAAAGCTTTAGGCTCTCCCTTCAGCAGGAAGATCAGAACTGCACAAAACAGTTGGCTTTGAAGCTGGACACCTCGAGAGAGCAGGGAAATATGGCTCTGAACCGGGAGAGAAGGTGAAAGCTTGAGGGAAATCCTGGTAATGTTTTTTGTGAGTGTTGTGCTATTTTTGGGAGGAAACCTTTTGCTTTTGATGGTGAGATAATTTCTGAAAGGATCAGGTTTTTAACATAATCCGCCTCATGAACTCTGCACTAGTTCGGATTTGCTTTCACAGCCTTTTGAGCAGATTGTTTTCTAAGTCCAGGCAATAAAGCAGGAGTTTGTTGAGCATTTGGAGAAGTGTGGCCTGGTGAGTTGGGTGTAATCTCCTTACCCAGAGTCGCTTGCGTAACAGCGCAGTACAGTGCAGCAGGTCTGATTGAGGCTGCCTTGATAATCCCTGCACAGCCACTGGAGAGTTGGCTGCTCCTTAGGGAGTGAGGGAAGGAGGAAGTGTGTTCCAGGTCACTTAGATACACTGAAGAATAGTTTGTTCTAAGATTGGGGCAGTTAATATGAGTCTTGCATGAAGCAGTTTTATTCTGAAGTGTTGTTGGATGTACAGGTGCTTCAAGGAGCGAAAAAACTTTGTTTCCTCCAGTTGTAAATTATAACTTGTTCTTTTGAAACAATTGCTTGAAATACTCCCCAAGTTCTGCTTTGTGCCAGTAAAACAGGTGGTCTGATGCTGACGTGATGTTATCAATTGTGAGTACTGCAAGATTTAATATTGCTGAATCCAAAGCCTTGGGTACATTGCCCGAGTTCAGAGCCAAGGGCAAAGAGCTGCCACGTACAGTCAGTCACAGATCTTTGGGCTGCTGATGGTGTGCAAACAGACTGCAGGAGGAAAGGGCAGCCAGTGTGACACAGTGACAGCATCGAGTCACCTGGTTGGGGCACACCTTGATCCGTCCAGCAAGCTGTGACACTTTGTGCTTGGTCACAGGTGACGTGGCTTGCAAGTAGTTAAAATTCTGAGGGAGGTGACAGTGGCTGTTACTTGCCAAAACGGCTCTAAACATCATCTGATGGGCAAGTAGCTTGTGCCAAAGGAAAAGGAAAACCCAGAGCCTTGGTGGTGGGTGCACTGTCTGAGGAAGGAGCAAGGACTMATTTCTCCTGTGAAGTCTGGCATTTCATTTGGAAGTTTGCCTGGTGAACACCTGATCTTTCCCACACCAAAGGATCCCTCTGATGGGCAGCTGATACTCAGTGACAGCCTTAGGCACTGCAGCAGGAAGGTTTGTATGTCTTGGAAAGTTGGAAAGTTTTTATGTGCAGTTGGTTAACTGTAGGTGATGTTATCCTTGGTGGTTAATGAAAAATATATGTACATTTAATTTTAAACTCTTGCTGTTAGTGGTGTAGAGAGCTGAATAATTTCATAGGCTATGTATGTTTTAGAAAAGGTCTTTGATTTCTAMGTTTGGAGCTTTTTTATTTTCCTGATCATCTTCTGGCTGTTTTGGAGTTATTTTGGAGCTAAATTTCATCAGCGTTGCCAGCCCTTTACTGTAAAACTGTGATGTTCTGAGCAGCTATGCTTATAAGTTGGCTGTGTTAAAGTTAATATTTCTGATCAAGTTAATAATTTTTGGATTTATTTCATTTTATCTATAAGTTTTCTGCACTGTCTCTTCAGTGGCTGTGAGCACAACACATTGAAGATCGATGGGATGTTTCCAGCTGATTTATAATAATTATGATTATTGTTGAAATTCTTTTTGATGTGTGTTGAAATGAAATTTGTGAGCTTAGTTTGCTTTTACAGGTTAAATGACAACTGGCAGAGAACTGTGAGAGGGATTGTGGAAAAAAAATCACATCTAATTCTTTAATCTCCATTTGAAAAGTTCAAGATAACACTTCTCTGTCTGATCTTCTGTAGTTTTAATCTGCTTTTCTAAGGAAACAAGTTTTGTGCCATTGTGCTTTCTGCTAATTCCTCTGATAATTATCCTCTCATAATTGCAGTTGCTTTAACGTGTTGGCACCTTGGACAGAGGGATTGTTCCCACAACTTAGGAGGGAATGATTCTTGTGGTGTAGAAATGGACTCTCTTAATGCTGCCTCTGGCAAGAACTCAACCCTTACCAGACATCAGAGCACCTCGAAGGCAGGAGAGTTTGTGGTGCCTGAATTAGAAAAGGTTTTGCTCTCTGGACTTCTTAGACAAGAAAAACTTGTCCTGATGAGCCATGTTTCAAAGGCACTTTGAGCATCCTAATGAACTATGTGATACAGGGCTGGTCAAAGCAGTCATTCTCTCTATCAAAAGTTTGAGTTCACAATGTGATTTTTTTTTCTTTCTTTTTATTTCCCTAATGCTTTATTTATATAGTTTGCCTGAAGCCAAGTAAATGCCTTTGGTTTTCCTTTTTTACTTTTTTTTCCCTTGACATGTTTGTGGTAGTATCTTAAAATCTGCTGATTTAGAACTGTTTGTTTACTGGGATAACTTAAAAAAATTATGACTGGGACATCACAAATATTTTGCATCTCATTCCATAATGTCTTTGAATGAGCCTAGAAATTAATATGTTGCATAAGAAAATGAGTTGTTTGTTTTCCTTCAGGCAAAATACTTGCTAGGATATGTTTACCTGCTTCACAAGAGATCTGATGGTAAATATGCATGTAATATTGGTAACCAATTAGGTTTTTAAACTAATTTTTAATTAGTTCATTTGKGTTCTCTTTCAGAGATGATGTGAAGTGCTGTTAGTCCTCTGACACCGTGCCCTGGATCCTCATGGTATGTCTGAAGGACACATCTCTGCATGCTCTGAATGTGCCGGGTGAATCCCAAGAATAACTTTCCACAGCAGTTTGTGACCTCTCAAAGAGGAAGAAGTCAAGAGAGGGCAACTTTTACTCTATATTTAGCCCTAGGTGAGTCTGTAAAAAGAGCCTGACGGGCTCTAGCCTAAAATTTATTTTTGGATTTGTGTGTTACACCAGAARATAGAGAAGTGCCACATTCAGGCAGCTTTTTGCAGCTGCAGTGAAGATGCAGCACATCAGTGGGACTTAGGCAGCTCCCATAAACACCTGTAAGAACTTTAGTCAGCATTTCTGGTGCTTTAGGTAAAGCAGAAGGAGGGGAAACAAAAATATTTTTCAGGTAGATAATTCCCCTGCCTCATCTTTTAATCTGAGAGACAAAATTGGACACAAGAATAAGTTTGAGAACAGTTTGGTTGCCTTTCAGTGGCAGAGGTGTCACCAGAGGTGCTTGCTGTTCAGTTCTTGTGGTGAATAAAATCTCATCCTGGCATATTCTTGCCTGGAATTTTGGATTTAGCTGAATTGAATATTTCATTTTCAGGTTGTCCTCATGAATACTCCCGTGGAGAATGTCCCTGATCTTCTTTGCCTGTGTGGTGCGGGTGAGGGATGGACTTCCCCTCTCAGCCTCCACAGATTTCCATCTCAACCAGGACTTTCTGGAATGCAGGAAGAGATTAAAGGCGTTATCCTCCATCCTGGCGCGGTATCCRAGTCGGGGCACGGCAAAAGGACGTAACCTGAGCATCCAGTGAGTYCCTGCTCTGCTTTGGTTGGGTTTTTTGGCTTTAAGTTTTGAAATAATGCTCTTGGGGATTAGGTGAACTATGGGAATGGTCTGTAGTGCCTAATTCCAATCTGAAATCCCACAGTGCTTGTCTAGGTTGTGAACTCCAAGGATTTTGAAACCTTATGCCTCAGCTTCTGCTCAGTGGAGGGAGCATAAGCTTAGTCATGTATTTGTATATATTGATGTATTCATAGATTGCATTTTATATATTTATATAAATATACTTACATAACTGATATTTATTTTATGGTATATTATATTTRCACRTATTTCATTATATTCATGCATGTAYATTTATGCAAATAAACTTAYACATATACATTTATACATATACCTATTTGCATATACATACCTACATATACATATTTACACTATATTATATATGTTTGCTATATATTAATATATTTTCTTCTCATATATGTATAATTTGCTCATGTTAATTTTTATTTTGTGTAGCAAAGCTGCCGGCTCAATGGGGAGTGCTTGTTACTKTTAGGATTTGGAGTATCATGGATTTCTACAAATACCTTTAAGAGGGCATCAAAGTGCCTTGGAATGACTTAGTTTAGAAGGAATTTATTAAAGAAATTACAGAGAAAGAAATGAAGAAATTTATTTAAACTCATGTAAGAAATTAGTTTTAGCTTGTATTTGTGTTTCTGGTGAGCAAATGGAAGAARACTTGAAGTGATCCTAAGCTAAAACTAAGCATCCCTTTTTGGGGGAGTGGAGGGAGTTAAAAAATACATGAATTTTCACTGAAACAGTTGGAAAAGCAGCGATTTTCATCTCAATTCCTTTTGACTCAAAAGCAAATTGGTGCCCTTTGATGCCAACAAGTCCTGCTGCTTTAATCTTCTGTGGCCTCTACAGAAGCAGCTCAGCCCCTGGCTCTTGAAAGAGAGCAGTGCAAATGGATACGTGGCAAAAAGGCCATAAATTATGGACAACTTGGAAAAGGTGGTTTGAGGCAGGCATGGTGTTGATCCCCAGCCATGAGCTGGGAGCAGCAGGAATTTGGGGAAGCTACCCAGTGGGACTGGGCTGGCAGAGCCAAGCTAAACTGWAAATCCCAAGTCCATAGAATAACAAATAAATAAAAACGTGATGAAATAGAAACCATGAGTATGAAATTAAGTTGGGATGAAATATAGGAGAAGTTGAAAAAATAAAAATTGTTTGGTTTCAAAACCTGGGTGTTAAACTGATTTACTGCTGACAAGTGGATGGCTGTAAGGGAAGATATCCCTGATAAGTTTCCTGGAAGATTTTTGGATCATCTGTAAGTGAAAACTTGTGCATAAATCCAACTTCAGTGTTGGAGGAACCCCTCTTGGAGCAGATTTTTTTCGTGCTGTTTCTGTTACAAATTCATTTGTTACAGAAGATGTAGCAGTGTTTGAAAACCTCAAGATATGCAAATTAACAAATATCTCTTGCTGTTAATGTGAAGTTGCCATGTTCAAGTGGAGCAAAGAATCCATCTGCTTCCTGGGAAGAAGCTTCCTTGCTTTTATTTTCTTTCTGCATTTTCTTTCAAAATTGGTTTTCTGACCATCTTGGTTTTTATTAATGTGATTTAAAGCCAGCCTGGGAGAATAATGTCCTCTATTTGTACTGATGTACCAATTTAACAAAGTCTRTGTTCCGGCATCCTGGATGAGTTAGGGATAAATAATAGTCTAAGAATAAATAGATCTACAGGGATTGCAGGACTTTGACAACAGCCAAAATTACATTTTTTGCAGTCTGCTCTCTCAGCTCAGTCTGTACATTTTGTTTTGACAGAAAGTGCAGCTTCGTTCTCRCATTCAGCAGGACTTTCACATTTTTATGTGACTCTTTTTATTTCCATTTCAGTTTCCTTTCTTCTGGGGATATTGCCTGCATGGCAATCTGTTCCAGCAGCTACTCAACCATCATGGCCTTCTGCTTCCTGGAAGAGCTTCGGTGGGAATTTGCTGCTTCCTACGACACAAGGAGCATCAATTCAGCTTCCAGACCATATGCTTTTATTGAATTTGGTTTGTAACTTTGTTCTCTAATAGTAAATATCCTCTGTCTGCCAAAACGATGGTGTTAAAACAATATCTCCTGGACAAAGCCTGATGATAAAAGTGACTCTGGGTGTGCCTTTGACTSCATGTGGTGGAGGAGAGGGAGATCTTAATGCCCTAAACTACTGGAGTATTTGGTTTGTAGTTCCYGAGAATTCATCTATTATGAACCAAATGCTTTGGTGATTGATGAACAAGCAGAGACGAAAAAAGAAATTGATATCTCAGACACTTTCTAAGTTAATTAAAAGAAATCTGATGAGCAGAGACAGAGGAGTACAGGAAAAACGGGAGACAGAATGGATTATTATGGGCAGCTTTATTTCTGGCATGACTTGGACTCATAATACTTCATTCTCATGCCCAGTGGTTCTTTTTTAATCTGATATAATTTGTTTTCTTGCCAAGTAGCAGCTGCTCTGCTGAACCTCACACCTTTGAAAGACACCATTCCCTTGCAGTGAGAAGCTTTCCTGGAAAAGGATAATATCCTGCAGTGGGTTTGCACACTCCTGTCCAGATTTCAGTAACAATGTTAAACTCAGGCTTAAAGGATTAAGAAATCCATCAGGAAAGCTTMTTATAGAACCATCTTGGATTTTGGGTGGATTCCCTGCAGGGCACATTACASCCAGGTTGTAATTTCATATTGAGATCCATTTTACTCTTTTTTTTTTAACTTGAGTATGAGTTGGGGAATTCCCCACCTCTTTTAATTGCATTAAGCTTACTTTTTAAAGAAAAAATACCTTTTTAAAATAGTTTTTACTACTACACTTTATTAGGTCCTGAGTGAAAAATACTGCTGTGTGGTTATTTGTTTATTAATTTAATAATCTTTTTCCCTGTGTTTGAATCTAAGATGCATTTGATGCCTAGGATCTTAACTTTTTTTGGTAGTCACAGGTAACTTTTATTATTATTTGGATTCGATATTGGGAAGAAATTCTTCCCTGTGAGGGTGGTGAGGCCCTGGCACAGRGTGTCCAGGGTGGCTGCCCCTGGATCCCTGGCAGTGTCCAAGGCCAGGCTGGACAGGGCTTGGAGTGACCTGAGATGGTGCAAGGTGTCCCTGCACAGGGCAGGGGTTGGAATGAGATGATCCTTAAGTTCCCTTCCATCCCAAACCATTCTCTGAAATGAAAYACCTACAAGAAGTATTTTTTTTCCCTGACCGGCAGTGGAATTTCATACTAAAATGACTAAGAAAAGAAATGAAGGAATTAAAACCAATCATAGAGAACACCATGATATGATAAATAATCCCCTTAATTATAGTTTAATAATATTAAGGATTAATCAAGGCCTTTTTCAGAGCCGATTGCAGCAGATTTTCCTGTTGTTTCAGATAACATCATTCAGAAGGTGAAATACCATTTCAACAGCAGCCGTGGCTCTCGGRCCAAGGCCAGGTGGGAGCAGGTGGAGGAGGAGCTCAAACTGCAGCCCCCGGTGCAGCTGCAGCTGGAGGCCACCGAGCTGCTCAATGGGCTGAGCAACGGAGGGCACGCAGGAGGCCATGTGGAGGTTGGTAAGTTACTACTACACAAGGTGACAGGAGCTTTCCTCACCCTCATTCTRCACGGAAACACATGACAAGTTCCTCTTGTACCCAGAAATGTGTATTTACATCGTGTGTATGAAGCCAAAAAAGGCTTTTTTTTTTTTCCTAGTAAACAACATATGGTATTTACATTGCAGCAGGTATGCAGCAGAGCTTTAGATGCTGCTGTGGTGTCTTTTTTTCCAGCCTCACATCAGCTTCTCTGTATGGAAAATGTAGACTGGACTGGATACTTTCCATGTTCAATTCTCTTCTTTTGGAATCCTTGTTTGTTAAATTTCTAAAGAAGCTCCACTGATTCATGGCTTGTTGCAAACTCATAATAAAAKATGTGTAATTACAGTCTCAATGAGTTTCTTCAGCCTTGAGAGAAGAAAAGATGAGMAGAATATGAGCTGAGAGTAGAACTCTTGTTCTTACATTGTCTGGTTCAAGTTGTTCTCCCCTGTGTGCTTTTTACTTTTACCTTATTTTTWAAAATGTAATGCATTTGACTAAAATTCTGAAAGAGGATTTGTTTATCTGTATAAACAACACAGAGGCTTGACAGGGGACTTTTTTTAACAAAACCTGACATTTTCCCTGCGTTTGAAGTACCACCCTCTACGTGTTTATTAYAAAAATGGTACATCTTACTTGTGTTTCAGTTGTATAGTCAAGGTCATGCCTACCACCTCCGCAAATGAAATCATAGAATTATTTAGGTTGGAGAAAACTTTTAAGATCATTGAGTCCAACCAGAAACCAAACCCTGCCAAGTCCACTACTAAAGCATTCCCTATTTTAATCCTGTTAGCACGKTGGTTTAAATGGAGCTGGAGTGCCATGAGTTTGTATTTCCTTTTTTTTTTTTGTTGTTCTTGGCTTATGAAACACTAATAAAATTAAGTTCCAGTTGCTCAATCTTTATTGTTTGTGATAGATGAGCTGGAATCTAATTTGACATAGGTATTTTAAATTAGAGTATAGAAGGGCACTGGCCAGGAGGAATTAAAAATAGAGTGGAAACCACTTTATTTGCCAGTCAGATTTGAGAGTGCTCCTCAGAACTGTGCTTGAAGGTTAAATCTTTTCATGTTGTGGCAGGGCTTAGAAATTCTTTACWCCTTTTTTTTAAATTTTGAACAGCRTCAGTGCCAGTAAATATTTGTGATCTAGTCTGTGTCCACAGATCAGAAATRTATTTTCAGTTCTCCCTTATTCCTAATTGCTTTACTTTCCATCTGGCTTTTTATTTCTGGCTGTTCTCTCTGATCTAACCCAAATACTCTTACAGATTGTTCTGCCTTTATTTTAAGGATCATGTTTATGATCRTCTGTTTGCCTCCACTGGAGTCAGCTTTCCTGGCTTATGTCTCTCTTCTCTCATCATTCCCTACCAGCTGAATCCCACTTTGCTGCTCTAAGTTTAGCTGTGTGCATAGTGTTTGTTCCATATTAATGTTATTTATATGATGGCTCTGCTCTACAAGAGACTGTTTGAAATGCTGGGGCTGCAAGAGAGCAGAATTTAATTGTGTCTGCATTCCCCAGCGCAGATTGATCGATCCAGGGATGATCCAAGCATCCCTCTCCTCACATGGCTGGAGCTGCTCCTGGCCTCTTTGGAGCTGGGTGAGCTCATTCTCTGGCTCTTCAGTTTGGTGTGAAAAGGGTCAGAAAAGTCAGGGCAGCTTTGTCCTTGTTGGTATTTATGAGAACAAGAGATTTTTCTTTTCTTATTTCCATGTTTTCTTATTTCCATTGCTGTTTGTTCCTTCCTTTGTTAACTAAACCCAGCCCAACTCTTGCTAAAAAAACCACTTTCCTTGTACCCTTGATCAACCCCTACACAGCCCTGGCTGCTGCTGCAGGGCCTTACTCATGTCACAGTGTGGGCACAGCTGGTGGTGCTCCAGGGGACACTGGGGCTGTGTGCAGGGCACAGGGGGACTCAGAGGCGCTTTCTGTGAAGAGAGAGAGTTTTCACATCACAGTTGGCTCCGGRAAGCAGCAGAACAACTTGTGCCTCTTGTCTTGTAAGTGAGCTGGTAAATCCTGCAGCTCCCCTTGATCAATGTTCTTAATGTTTTATAGATGTGCAGGGAGTCCTTCAGAGGCCTTTTCAAGGGTTTTTTTTTTTTAAGCTGTCTCACTCTCTGCCTTTTGTGTGCCTGTGTTTTAGTTTAAACTGTTGGAGTGTGATTTCATTTCTCACTCCTGGCGCTCTTTCTGCGGAACTTTGAGTGACTCATTGTCCACCCTCGTGTTCTGCCTGGAGGAGGCAGATCAGAGCTGCTGCAGACTCTGCTGTCTGCCTCCAATGAAATGGCCAGAGGCCTCTCCACAAAATCTTTTCTGGGCAGAGGTTTCAATTTCTTCACTGTGAGGGTGTTTGCACTGAGTTGTTGTGTACATGTTCAAACCTGCTGGTGCCTTTTGCGCGGGTGCTGAATCACCCACAGCTCCCAGAACATTCCTGTGTAGTTCTTGTGTTCTGAAGTGCACAACTTCTGTGCTTGAGGAGCCAATCAATTTGAAACCTAATTAGTGTTCATTGTGCTTGCGCTAAATTGTGTTGTCTTGGACTAAGAGTATTTGTGCTCTCCTGTTCCCTTATTTAATGTAATAAGTCATCCTAGTATGAAATCTTTTTATAAGAATATGACTGAATTCACCCAAGGAAGTGTAATATTTTTTCCCTAACAGGACCCATCTCACTTCTCCATGCAATTTCATTTTGTGAGTTAAACCTCAGAATCTACCAGCAGAAATAAATCTCTGCAGCAAACCATTTCAAGACCTGTTTTTACAGAATCTGAACCCTGAGCAACTGGAGGTTTTAATCTCTGCTGCATCTGTGACAGCAATTCTTTTTATCCTCCCAGACTGAAAAAAATGTRACTTTTACATAATATTTCTTGTTGCAGAAGCAGTATAGTGAGACCTACATTGTTCTTCCCTAGGGACTGGGAACTGTTGGCACGTGTAGTTTGCAGGATCCTGCTCAATGAATGACACTTGCTTGATAATTAGAATTTGTTTGAGAGGCATTTTGTGCCTCTGAAGTAAACCTTAGAATCTGAGGAAGAGAAGCAATCTTTAATAGGAAATTCATGTGGGAGACTTATATGTGTATATATATAGCTGCAACATTATTTAATTGATCAAAAGTGGGAATAGCAGGAAAAAATAGTAGGAAATTGAATTCTGGGGTCAGTGAATGAAAAAACTGCTGCTACAAGTTCTTTTTAAATGTCACTGTGTAGCAAAAGAAAAGCCAAAGTGCCTTCGACTGACAGAGTAACTTGCACCATTCTGTCTGTAATAACCAGTAAAGCTCCCTAAAGTGACACGTATCAAATGGAGTTAATACAGGTCCTTCTGCAGTTGCTTTGGAGCTGAAATTATGGATGTGTGAGTGCATACCAGACAAATTAATTACAGAGCCGCGGATGAAAGGTACTTTCCATCCCTATATTAATTCAGCACTGAAGTTTTTTGCATCCATCTATCAAAATTTCTCTTGAAGGACAAGGCAGGAGTGTTTTCCTCTCTGAACCATATGGTGCTGCAGTGTTTAAGCTGCTGTGGTGTTTCATTTGTCACTGAAATGAAGCCAGAGGTGCAGTTTATCTRTAATTGTCAGGATCTGTATATACTTGGACAGTGGGAGAAGATCCTTAGGGCTGGATAGTTTTCTTGAGGGCTCATTGATTCTCTCCCGTGTTTTGGGGATGTTGGTGCAGGAGACGATCTGGATTTGGTATCTGAGCTGCAAATTACCATTTTTTWTTAAGCTGACAGTGTCCTACTTGTAGTGATCAAAGGGCAGGGCTGAAATGTAGGTGAGTATCAAGGTGTGGAATCTGTTGTTGAACAGGCAAGGCAAAACTGTAGGTGGGCTTTTGGATAACCCTGAATTAAAGCAGCTTCCAAAGCTAAACACACATTGGTGATAATTGCTCTGACCTTAATTAGGTGTGTATCAATGAGATTATCATGAGGAGCTGCTGTTTAGAGTGTGGGTGTTATGTAGTAGCAGGGAAGGTGAGAAAGGAAGGAGGCAGATAATTCACGACCTGTGAAATGTGGAGCCCTCAAACGGCCAGTGGGAAGAAATACCTTAATTACTGCTTAAGGAGGAGATGGATTGCTGTCTTGCAGTGATGGGTGGCTGAAATCTAAGCCCTTTCCCAGACCTCTGGGTGGTGAAAGCCTCTGGCTTTTCTGCTGACCTGTGAGGAGTGCTGAGCATTCTCATCTACTGGAGTGAACAAAAAAATATCTATGTGCACCATAATAGAGGACAATAATGCCAAATAGGTCACGAAAAATTCTGTTGCTGACCTGTTTAAAAGGTCAGCAACAGACCTCTTACTAATTTCAATTCCAGACCTCTTACTAATTTCTGGATGTCTGAAGAACTGAGCACTTTAATGCAACAAAAAAAAGGGGGATTCTGTTTATAATCATTCTTCCCTGAGCATGAAAGGTTTTGAAAATGTTYAAAACCACACAAGCTAATTTGTGTTGTTTCTTGTTAAAAGATTGAAAATAATAGTCCCGACTTTCACTTGTTTTTTGTTCTTTTTAAGTCCCTACTTACAGAATGCAGCCTGTGACCCCGCTGGGGATTCTGTCCCTTGTTCTGAACATCATGTGTGGAGCTCTGAACCTCATCCGAGGAGTTCACCTGGCAGAATATTCCTTTCAGGTAACCCTGATTGTACTCAGACCTGAGAAGGAGTCAAAGGCACAGAGTTTTCGGGTAACCAGTTCAAGGGTGGCTGTTCTGCCCCTTATCTTTCCCATAGGAAGTGTTTTGTTTATTCAGGAAATGTGCAATTGGTTATTCACCTGCTGCACTTTGTGTATTTTGCTGTACATCACAACCTCTAGCATTTTATTCTGTTTTAGGGAAGTTTAAATTTTGAGAAATACTTTATCCTTGCCAGGCTGGCTGTAATTTTTTTCCTCTGTTCTTGCATCTTATTTTAGTTCCTTTTCTGTAATTTTTTTTTAAACAAACAAGAGACTGTAAACAACTTCAAAAAAAGGAAAAGAAAAAAATAAAGTGTCCTGATTGCATCCTGACACAGTTTTATTTAGCAGGAACTGTCACATAAGCCTCAGTTCCTGGTGTCTTATTCAATGATATTGATCTTGGTGTTTAACACTGTTACAGTCAATCAACATAAACTGGGATAAGAGGTTCTTGACTATATTTATAATGTTCTCAAATATCAAGCAGCACTTGCTAAAAACTGTGCCTGACGTAGTTGTCACTTCTTTTAATCCCAACAGGAGGACCATGAAGGAATTGGAAATGTGATAGCTTTTTTTCTACCTTTTCTAGCCTGTGTTTTTCAGGTATGTTTACTGCAAATAATTTTTTYCTGATTATTTTGATATTGTAATCCACAAGACAGAGAAGTTTTCAGCTAAGCAAAGGTTTTGAATATCCTACCCAGGTGATTCCACTGATCTRTTCCAGTAAGTGGCACAAAAGCAATTAAAGGCATGTTTTGACCCTTGGAAAATTGCAGTTGCAGGCTGTTCCAGTGCTTCCATGTTTTGAAATGTCACATGAGGCTGAATGTGATGGATAAATGCCATCCCAAAGATGGTTTATTCCCAAAGGCATGGACACCACTTTTTTCTGTCTTAGTGATGGGCTTTTGTAGCATGACCACCTTGAAGACTGAGCAAATACTGGACAGCAACATTATTGATAATGTCCTAATTTATATGAAAAATTACATTGCATCCTGGTGGTTCCATAGATTTATTTTTTTTTTCCATAATGGAGTTATTTTMTCTGACCTTAAASAGAAGCRTTTGAATGAGGAAAATMTAACATGCTCCAAATTATTCTTTCYTGAAAGTCTCCTTGAATTCCTACAACAGGGCTCCACAACCTTTAACTTGAGGGCAATATATGCCAGAAAATCTTCAATTTTTAGCCTGGCTTTGCAGGAAGGYGCTGCAGTTTTGTTTCTAGCAATAACTAATGCCTACAGTGTATTCATTGCCCTTGTTGCATTTGGATTGTGTTTTGGGGACTACTATCTGCAGACTTTATTTATGGTGCTGTTTATTGTGTTATGACAATTTAGTGTCTTTCAGCCTTCTTACACCTCTGCTCATGGCAGAGCTTTGATCTTAGATGTTAATTTAGATCTAATACATTAATTTGGATTTAAATACTCAATATAAGTTGTTTTTCACAAAGAAAGGCTCTATGCTGCTTTTTTCTCTGTTGGTATCTGAAGCCAGGGAAGCTGAATAAAGGTGAGAGTTTTTCTCTTCTCCTTTTGATATATGGCAGGCAGCTTCCCAAAATGCTTGTACACAAATTGCAGTGCTCTCCACGTGCTGACCTCTGCCTGTGGCATCAGCACAATTGGAACCTGTGACCTGAGGTGAGAAAGGCTGATCTGTCACTGCCTGAGGGAAAAAAGTGTCTCCTCTGTCAGCACTGGGAGCTTTTCATTTGGTCCTGTGAGGGTTTTACTCTTCACATGCTGAGCAGATGGGTTCCAGCTGTCCCAAGCAGCAATTCCCAGCTGGATCCCTGTTTTTTTACACACAGTTCAGTGCTAACTCTCTCTCTCTGATCCTTTTGCAGTGTTACCTGTACCTCTTCTACAGCTCAGCCAGGAAAGTGAAGACATTTGTGCTCCTTTTCTGTGTCTGCTTATGCAACATCTACTTGTATGGATTACGGAACCTCTGGCAAATCTCTTTCCACATAGGAGTGGCTTCTCTTTCTTCTTATCAGATCCTGACGAGGCAGCTCCTGGAGAAGCAGCCTGACTGTGGCGTATGAAAAAAAAAACTTGGGGTTTGCTACTCTATTTTTACAACTCTTTTTTTGTATTCACCTGGCCAGAAATTGCTCAGAGTGTTTTTTAACCATCCATGGTAATGGCTATTGCAAGCAACTTGGGATAAGTGGGGTCCTGGAATTATGTCCAGCACACAGCAGGGGGTGCAGCCGTGTTTGACATGGTAGAGCTTCTCAGATGTCACCAACAGATGGAAGTTCTTGCCATCAACAGGCTTTTCTTCCTTGACTGCCACCATCCAGACTGCATTTTGCCATTTGTCTCACTGGCTTTGTGACAGTTTGGCAGGTCAGTCTTCCCTGCTGCTGCAAATACTCACATTGTGTAGTAAAATGAAGGTAAAGTCACAGGTAATTTTTGTCTCTAGAATTAAAAGTTAAGATTCTTGGTAAAATGTGAGTAAAGGAGTTGTTTGCTGTGATTAGATGAGTTGAATATCAGTGGGAAAAAGGGTGAGGGTGAGCTTCAGGGTAATTTTCTAGGTTTGGAAAGACAGGAAAAAGCTGTGGCTCTTTTATAAACCATAAAGCCTATAAATATCTGCTTGGCTGAACAGCACATCGCAGTTAAGTGTGTGCTCATGGGTTAATTACAAATATGCTTGGGGTAGCAGAAAATAATCCAAGTGGGTGTAAGTGATCTGGCAGCTCATGTGGCCTTTGTTTCCTTGGCTAAGGTCACTTTTAGGATAAGAGCAATTCCATGTTTGCTTGGTCTGTATGGATAATAAATCTTCCAAGCCTACTTATGACAGGCCACTGACTCCTTCACCTTTTTTTTAAAAAAAAAGAGCAGCTGGTGAGTAGAAAGCCATTTCCAGGAATGGAACGCAAGAGCAGGTTCTCTTTGTTCTATAAAACACCTGTAGTTAATGGTGGTGAGTTCTTATACTGAGGTGAGTTTCTGAGTGTGCAGTTTGGAATAGGGGACTGCAGAGCTGGAATTCCCAACCTCTGCTGCTTTGGATGTCCTGCTCTGTCATGGATYGAGGTGCATTTTAGGGCATAGCTGAATAATTTAGTCTGGCTGTTAATAAAATGCATTGCAATTTGATACAGTTGTGCTCGAGGGGTTKTAGAGATTCAAACTGAGGTGTAGGGAACAGTAGGTGTGTTACTGTGGAATCACGGTCCTAGAATTTCCTTGTATTTTTTCTTTCTGGTCATCCCCATTTTTTTCACCAAAGATTTATTTTTCCTCTCACATAATTTCTACCTCTGGTTGCAAAGAGATTAACATGCAGCAGAGTTGTCTTTTTTGCGGGAACACTTGACAAAATTCCTTTCTTGTATCTCAGTGAATTTTCCTGGAATGTCAGGATGCAAACACAAGGATCAGTTGGATGACTAGAGCAGAAATTTGTGGTGCTGTACCTTAGAAGCACTTCTGAATGCAGCTGACTGCAGCAACAGCATCCATAGGCAGCCCATTACAACCTGGACAGTTTCTAGGACATCAGCAGACTTAGTGCCAGAGCTTTTCCYGCTAGGAAAATGTAGGTATTTCTCTTTTATTGCACTTACTGTAACAGCATTGTAATAAAACCTTCCAAACTATGAGGAGTAGTCTGGTAGGAATGATGGAGGAATATTTTAGCCAGGCATTTGARGACACAGCTAGAGCTGTGTGCCATAAGGGAAAAGTTTTCTGTTATAAGGGAGTGGATTAAAGTTGTTTTTTTTCTGTCATTATCCCAGTTTCCTGTCAGAGTGCAAGTGAAGAAATGAAGCCAGAATTCAACCACTGTCCTTGAGACACTAGGATGACCCCACAGATGAGAGGGGTTTTTTACTGCTCTGAATTTTTCCTGTTGTTCAGTCCCTTGGTAAGGTGCTTCTGGAGACTTCAGGGAATTCAGCCACGAGTTTGAATTGAAAAAAAAAATCTGAAAAAAGAACACCCCAAAAATCTGATACTAAAAATGTAGCACTTAAAGGATAATGGATCTGATGGCCAATGGTGTTTTCCAGGAACATAAATTAGGTATGAACCCACTGGATTCCTGTGGGAAATCATCTTGTGGGGAAAGGATGAAGCATTTTATACTAAAAACAGACAAAACTTTATGAAAAGGACTTTAGGGATAGGACCCAACTCCCTGTTCCTGCCTTTTTAGCCTCTCTCTGGCTAGAGAATCCAAAAGCTTTCCTGTTTCCCTTAGGATTGGCTAAAGCCAGGTCTGCTCTGGCCTGAGGCACACAGAGCATTTACAGCTGGACATTMCTCAGCTTTGCACTGAGCTGACTGGAAAAACTGTAACATTCCTGATGCTTCCCGAGCATCCAGCTGCTCTGTCCTGAAACAGATCCGTCCCTGAGCCAGGGACTGTCAATCACAGCTCTGCAAAGCAGTGCTAGAACTGGGTGTTTGGATCGTTGTGCAATTAACAGCGAGTGGAGAAGGGTTAAATTCAGCTTTTATTGATTTGGTTTTCCTAAAAAACATTTCAATAAAATCAAACCAGATCGGTTGGTTCGGTTCTGCCGTTGCCTAAACATTTTTTCTCTTTGTGTATTTTTGGGGGATTTGACTGAATTTTTAGATCTTTTCTATCCAGTGAACAAAACTCTGGTTAAGTGATGGTGATGGTCTTAATCCCTTTGCAACCCTTTTTTTTTCCTGTAATATGTGTAAATCATATTGAGGAATCTACATGGATTAGTCTGTGTGCACTTTGTAGGTTTGAATTGGGATTCCAGGATGAGGCAGAGCACATGGAATTTGACCTATTTTTGTTTTGRATTTGGTATTTATCCCTTATCCACATGGTATTTATACAGTTAAACATTTTCTCCTGGTGAAACAGCAAGAGGAATAGAATAGTTTACATTGATCTCAGTGCTTTAAGATTTAATAAAAAAGAATGACTTGCAGTTTGAGTACACAAAATCTGACTCATAACGTGGGATTATTCCTGTATTGAATCAAGTCCCCAAAGAGGAATCCATCCCTTTTTGTTCAACTTTACACTGTTTAATGTAGTTTGAATTGCATCTTTTTAATTCTGTCAGTTTGCAAGATAAAGCTTTTGGAAACTCTTTTCCTCACCCAGCAGCTCAGCAGAAAAAAATTGGCAAAGAATARACTTCAATAATTTCAAGATTTGCTGTGCTTAGTCACTTTACGAAGCTGGTAATTCTCTGGATTTTTTTCCCCATTTCTCCCAAAGACCTGTTGAGTTTGTAGAAGGTGGGCTGGTACCTTTTTAGACATTTTTGCACTGTATTAATAATTGAACCTGTGTAAATGTGTATAAAATCATTTTGCATGTATATGTATATATGTACATATATCTAATAAATGGCTTTTTTTTTGTAACAGTTGTCTTCATTCAGAGCTTTGAATTTACTGATTATATTAGAAACAAGGTTGATCAACCATTTCAGGTTTGCAGGCAACTTCAGTGATCCCTGTGGCCGATTCATCAGCTGAACTATATAAATGTATTTATAAATACAGAACTTACATGTTGAGGTGTCTGAAATGAGATGTAACACATTCCAAAGGTGTTTTTCCAGTGGGGATGTGGCACTTTGCAGGTGGAGTTTTAGCCTGGTCTCTTAYTGAAAACAGGCCTGTTAATTAATTGTCCCTACTGAGAGCTTGTGGACTTTTATTTGGAGCRATTTCAGCCACCTTGGTTAACAGCTCTGGAGACACCAATTCATCAGCTTTATAGCAATGACAGAAAATTCAGCTTTCTCACCACTCAGATGGGTTCATGGGTGGGAGCGATGCTTTGTGTGACAGGGCTCAGACCATTCTGCTGAATCAGGAATTAAAACATAAAGCAAAAATTGAAGAGCTGGAAGAAATCAAGCCYGTGGAACTACTGGTTTCTTCATGTTTTGGTGCTTTGGTTTTCCACAGGAATGACACCTAGGTATCTAACAGCTTCAAACTGCCAGAGGGCAGGATTAGATTAAATATTAGAAAAATCCTTCCCTGTGAGGGTGGGGAGGCCCTGGCACAGGGTGCCCAGAGCAGCTGTGGCTGCCCCTGGATCCCTGGCAGTGCCCAAGGACAGACTGGACAGGGCTTGGAGCAGCCTGGGGCAGTGGAAGGTGTCCCTGCCGTGGCAGGGGTGGCACTGGATGATCTTTCACGTCCCTTCCAACCCAAACCACTCTGGGATTCTGTGGCAAAAGCAAAACAATGCTCAGAGAGAGGGAGAACCTCTGGAAGGAGGAGAGCAGCAGAGCAGGGGCTTATGCAGGCAGTGGGTGGGAATCAGCAGAAGCTGATGGCAGGGGAGCGAGGAGAGAGAACCTCATTCTTCTGAACTGCTGGGCCCTTTGAAATCCAGATGTTATTTTTGTTCTGTAAATAAATGATTGCTCAAAGCGTGTCTCTTCTCAGGATGCCGATAGAGGAAAGCAGCAGCTTCTCCCTTTCTTCTTCGGTGAGGGGAGAAAGCAATTATAACTCCCTTTCTCTTTTGAAGATGCTGATAAAAGGAGGTGGGAGGATCAGAGGGGCCCTGAGCCGTAAGAGAAACAACTCCTAAGGTGATAGAAATACATGTTTTYATTTGAAACAAAGTAACTCCACTTCTGCTGAGCGCTGACTTTCAAGCGTGACCCAATTGCACGGAGAAACTGTTTGTGAGCAGGGGAAGGAAACCACGGCCCCAAAAGCAGCGGCAGGCAGGAGGTGGGGACAGCTGAGGTGTCCCTCTCCAGTGGTCATGGCTTTAAAAGCCATGGGTCCCTTGTCCTGAGCTCAGGACAGGGCTTGGAGCAACCTGGGACAGTGAGAGGTGTCCCTGCCCAAGGCAGGGGGTTGAACTSTATGATCTTTAAGGTTCATTCCAACTCAAACAGTTTTATGATTTCTAGGAGTATCTCTAGTCCTTGGAGAAATAAGTTATCCCTTTCCAAGCTCTGGGTTTAAAAAAGACCTGTAGCCGCCATGCAATAACAAGACAACCTTTCCGGAAAGACCGAACCCTTTCTACTCTTGCCAGGACAGGCTTCCCATCCCCAAAGGTTTCCTTGCGGGATTTCCCGAGTTTGCCCGGGCTGTGCGGCACTAGATGGAGCTGCGGACCCGCCCAAGGCTCCGTGCTCCATCGCTCTCCTCCCGCCCGCAGAGGGACCCCGAGCTCTTCGCAGCCCCGCCAGCCCCGCCGGGACGAGCTTTAGTCCGGGATGTGGAAGCGCCAGCTTTGAATCGATCCCTCCTATGCACCATCGTCTCAGGCCAGAGGGGTTTTTAAAGTAGGTTTTGAGCAAAACGGATTTTTGGGAGGAGCGAGAGTCAAAGGTGCACGGCAAAGAGTTTGGGCAACCAAGAACCAGACACGGGCTCCCTCCTTCCCTCCCTCCCTCCTTCCCTCCCGGTGAGATGGGGGAGAAGAATCAGGAGAGTACAAGAAAGAAAACTTGTGGGTTGAAAAAAAAAAAGGTGATTTTGATGCTTTAGGATTTTTTAGCTTCTATGTTTTAATGTATCTGTATTGTTGTAATTCTCCAGTGTACAGCACTGAACGCCTGTTCTCACATCTTTAGATAAAACAGTTCCTCTCTGAGCCTGAATCCAAGGACTTTGCTGCCTTAGAGCCCCAAAATATGGAAACAACAGAGAATTGGGGGGAGCAAACGTGGGGTGGGTGACATCATCACCTGAAGATATCATTGGGAGAATCGGGGCCCAGTGTGTTCATGAGACAGAACTTATAAAAGGTGAAGATCTTGTGACTCGGGATCCATTTTTGGGTGCAGCCTCAGGAGGAGGCCTAATGTACCAGTACTAATGTACCTGTCTGCCCTAATGTACCAGTAGACCTGGATTAAATTTGTCTGCTTTTATTCTCTTAATTTTGGCCTCTGTTTCAGGTGAGCCTTGTTTYAGGCRTCAGTTTAATAACAGGAAAAGCAAGAGTCCCACGCACAAATGAAGCAAAACAAGGAATTCATTCCTCGCTTCCCATGGGCAGAGTCCATTCTCTGTCTTTGTCACCTGCCRGCAAATCACAGAGGCAACTCATGGGTTCTGATGCTCACCCTCAGCTCCTTCTCCTGCGCACGGTGTCTCCTGAAATTCCAGGTTTTCTCCCAGTTAAATATTGAATTGTCCCAGAATGGTCCTGTTTCAAACCAAGATGTTTATCTGAGTGTGGCTGCTCATCATTTCCAGGTTTCCTGCCATGGACTTAAAGGAACTTGGTAAGAGATGGAGAAGCTTCAACAAGGGAACCACAGATCAGAGCTGCCAGGTTCTGTCCTAAAGACACCCTGCGTGATGGTAATAACATCCAAAATGGTGGTTCCACAGAAATTTAAAAAATATATTACCCATTTTTGGGATAAAATAGGCAGATGCGCTTTCTCCTTATCAGATGAGAAAAGCATGTTATTAGATTTAATGCCCCTAGCAAGCCATGCCTTGTGTCAATAATTATCTAGAATATAAATTATTTAAAATAATATGCCTGTGTGGTTTTATCCAATTTTGTACACACATTTGTTCATATTTGCCTTCCCTTGAAGATAAACTCTGCCATGTTTACTGCCTATTTAGTCACTAATTACTTAAGAGAMCTAATTGACTCTACTGCTCTGTCTATCATGCTGAGAAAGCCAGACAAATATGACAGCTCTTGGAAAAAACTGTTTGTTTTTTTTTTTCCTTTTGATCTTTATTTGGTGTGATTTCAATTCATTTTTTTGGATTAATGTGTAGGAATACTCCTCTTGTAGCACTCAGGCCATTTTTTTTCCCCACTGACTTCATTGTCAACGGGTGCCTGCCTTGATGAGATGCAGGAAAAAGATGCCAAAAGCTTTGAAAAGGGCAGGCTTGTGAGTACCTGACTCACATGTCCACTGTCTGCTTTGTGCCTGACAGCAACACGAAAATCTGACCTTGTCCAGCAGCAGAGTCCCTTTCGGCTTTCATCAAGAAAAGCCTGGAAAGGGAGGTGGCATCTTTCATTAGAATGAGGGGAAAAACCAAAGGATGTTCCTTTCTTTGAGCCTGACAAAGCAGGAGCCACAATGTTCCACCCAAACAGAACTTGGGACAACCATTCCGTGTCTAATTTGTGGCTGATCAGCCGTGACATAAAAGGAGACCTTGGAAAAAGCGAAAAATCATTATTCAAAGTGCAAACATTGTTTTCTTCACTTCCTGATAAATTAGATGTCTGGAATTTTATTCCCCGCCCCCTAAAAACACCCTTTATTTTTTATTATCTATTTGGAACAGATGATGTGGTTAATYTATTTAAATCAGCCCCAGGTCTCTAGGCTGGGCCAGCAGAGATTGGTTTGTACCAATCCAAGTGGAATTCACCTTCCTGGGAGGTAAAATCTTTGGACAAGGAAATAATGAGAACAAGGTTTCT